CTAGCAAGGGGATTTTCCAACTGTAAATATCTAAGGATGCAGAAATGTATTCAGTGGAGGACAAGCAATAGGGAGGGAATACATGGATGTGTGATTTTATAAATGGAAAAAATTCTTGAATGGGCTTTTGTGAGCTATATCGACAGATATCAAGGGTAGCTGTTTCTGAATAGGAAAATGTGACAAGGGGGCTCATCAGTGCCATTCCTAGTGGACAATAAGCGCATGCCCATATGCTCTCTTGATGTATGAAGGTGCAGATTTACCAGGAGTTTTCAGTGAGAATTCTATCTTGGAAAAACCTTATGATTAGATGGATTTCTCAACTGGGGAGATACCGATAGATGGGTAGTTATGAAGAGAGATCGTGTTGCCAAGCTCCACCAGTAGGCAGGAGATTACTGCTGGGTGTTTGTGAATGGGGAAATGTGTCACTGGCGGTGATGCATGGTGTGATGGCAATGGAATATTTATGAACCAGAAGATGTTTCTTAGTGAGGCATTTATGAAAGAGGGGATTTGTCACAGTGAGGAGAGAGGACTTATCAAAGGAAGAATCTATTGAGAACTTGGGATATGTTGTGTGTAGTCGTGGCAACAGAAGAGATTTACAGAGGCAAGGATTTGTCCCCAGTGAGAACAAACTGGTGGGGAATGCTATTGTGGAGGTGGGAGGTTCCTTCAGAAGCCTTGTCAGTGGAGAGATTGTACACTGGTGAAGCAGGGGACACACATCATACCCTGAAGACAAATGTAACAAGTGAGTTTATTAAATATAACAGCTCTGGGGGAGATGAGCAAGATCATGAGTTAACTGTTTCCACATCTTGGCTCCTCTTTTCCCAATCCAGCTGCCTGCTAATACACCCCCTCTGAAGGCCCTGGGGTCCTGGTACTCATGGAAGATAAGGGTAGAGTTCCTGGTTCCTGGCTTTGGCCTGGCCCAGCCCTGGCTGTTGTGAACATTTTGGAAGTAAATCAGTTGTTGAACGATATCTTCTTCTCTCTCTCTCTTTTTCCCTCTCTTCCCTCCCTTCCTTCTTCCTCTCTTCCCTTCCTCCCTCCCTCCCTCCATCTTTCAAATAATGAGAATTTTTTTTTTAATTAGAAAATACGAGGCTGACATGCAGCACAGCAGGCTAACCCTCTACACTGCGGTGCTGGCATCCTATATAGGTACCAGTTCATGTTCTGGCTACCAAATTTCCAACCCAGTTCCCTGGTTGTGGCCTGGGAAAGCAGTGGAGGAAGGCTCAAGTCCTTGGGACCCTGCATCCACGTGGGAGACCCGGAAGAAACTCCTGGGTCCCAGCTTCAGATCAGTTCAGCTCTGGCCTTGGCAGTCATTTTGGGGAGTGAAATAGCAGATGGAGGACCTTCTGTCTATCTTTCTCTCTGTTAAAAGAAAAAGAAAAGAATCTGTCTTTCAAATAAAAATTAAATTAACCTTTAAAAAATAGAAAACACATTCTTTAAAAAAAAAAAGGCTTCCAGGGTGCATCAAATTATTACTAATAGAATACATGGTTTCTAATCTTATTATTACTAATGAATATTATTTGAAATACTGTAAAGAATTACTAATAAGAATTATCATTACTAAAGTTATAAATTAAAATTATTTTGACCATACCTGCTACTTATAAGTACTGTATGCCTAGCACTATGCTAAGCAGCTTCCATATACAATCTTATCTAGTATGTACATCATCTTTATGTGTTAGATATATAGTAAATCTACCTATATATCTATTATTTATTAATTTATTTGATCAGCAGAAAGAGACACAGAAAACTCCTGTTTACCGGTTCGCTCAATGGCCAGGGCTGGACAAGGCCAAGCTAAAGCCTAGAGCCAGGAGTTAATCCATGTTTCCCCAACTACTTGAGCCATAACCACTGCTTCTCAGGCTTGTATTAGCATAAAGCTGATAGACTTGAACTCAGGCAGTCAGTTATGGGATGCGGGCACTTCAGCTGCTATTTTACTGACCAGGCCAAGCACTTGCCCTTTAACTTAGTATACATGTTATTCTTACACAGGAATTGAGGTGCAGGAAGCTAATAAGGCTCTCTCCATGACACGCAGCTAGGACATGGCAGGGCCAGGATTTGAATGCAGGTGGCCTGACTCCAAAGCACATGGTCTTAGCCATCACTCTACACTGTCTGGCAATTCAGTGTTAGCAATGTTGCACATAAAGTTACTGTTACGAGAGTCTTGTATTTTCACCTGAAAAATATCCGTGAGGCAACGATATCCTTTGCACCCTTCTTAAGCAGAGCTTCAGAATGATTCTGGCTGGAGACTGTGACACTCAATTTTTAGTAAAGATTTATTTATTTATTTTTATTGGAAAGTCAGATATACAGAGAGGAGGAGAGACAGAGAGGAAGATCTTCCTTCCGTTGATTCAATCCCCAAGTGGCCACAATGGCTGAAGCTGCACCGATCCAAAACCAGGAATCCGGAGCCTATTCCAGGTCTCCCACATGGGCGTAGGATCCCAAGGCTTTGAGCTGCGTTTGACTGCTTTCCCAGGCCACAGGCAGAGAGCTGGATGGAAAACGGGACCACCAGGATTAGAAGTGGCGCCTGTATGGGATCCTGGTGTGTACAAGGAGAGGACTTTAGCCACTAGGCTACCATGCCGAGCCCTGTGACACTCATTTTTGAGGCAGAGAAACAGAGACCAGATAAGAGAAAGGACAATCTCCAGACTGCCCACTGAGCTGCACACTTTGTGCAGCCGTGACATGCACATGCATGCTCTCAGCTTTGCTAAATCTCTCCCAGAGGTTCACACATGGACCCACTGAATGCTGGGGATAGGGGATGCTCATTTTACTCCTTTTAAATAGATTCTCTAGAAGAATGCTACGGGCACATGGTGATCCCAGGACTATAGTACCTGCCGGGAGTTCATGCCATTTCTCTAAGGGGGTGTAGCTTTGTGCACGCTGCTGTGGACTCTGTGTACCCTGACGAATTGGCCTGCTCCATCCATGCTGCACTGGGTGTCGGTTCAGTGATCTCCTGAAGGGTGTGTATGCTGACAGGAGAATGGTCTCCATGATGAATGCCCTGCCACCTTCCAGGCCATCCTCCTCCCACGGGTTAGAAGAGCTGAAGGCTCAGGGAGTGGGTCCCAAAGGCAGGATGCAGCTCAAGAATTCAGAATGCATCCTGGGATTTGGTGAACCCTAGGAGCTGCCACAGGCTTGCAGGAAACTAAAGGAATCGTGATATAGTCACCTGGGCCACAGCGAAGCCCAGCCCATTCCCTGACACTTGTATCCGTCCGTAAAGGCTGCCATTTGCCTTTTTTGGTGGACAGAATTCAAAGTCTCCTAAGTCATAATCAAGGTGCTGATAATAACATAGAAACCACTGCCACAGTAGACCTTGCCTGTTCAAGCATATCAGTTTTGGGTGCTCAGAATCTCCTGTCCTTATCTGGAACATAACTTAGGCCCTGGGAGTGCCAAAGGCTCTGAAATAGGACCATAGAGGCTCTAAGGTCCATGCTTGGTTAGCCAAAATGTTCTGGAGGACACCTGAGTTCTTACTGGTAGAAGCAGTGGGCAGTCTGATGGGAAGGAATTCAGGGTCCAATAGGACCCTTTTCAGATTCAGGTCAACAGGACACTTGAGTGTCCCAATGAATATTTGCATTAATCTGAAATGCTGGTCCCAGAGCCCTCACCCAAGTAAAGACTTTGGAGCATCCAAAGCAGGAGCCAGGGCCTGGGAAGGGGCCAGAGGGGCTCAGCCCCAGCTTTACGCATAGAAAAGGCCAGGTGTATTGGGAAGGTCTTTTTGGAAGAAGATGAGACTGAAAAGTGAGGGGTTTGGTTCAGAGACCTCAGTTTGAGTGAGGAACCAGCTGGCTAGGGAAACACTGTGAAGGGCATTTGCTGTTTAGTCCTCCTGGTGAAGCCTAGAGGCATTTCTTGGTTGTCAGTATTCCCTTCAGCAGTGGCCAGAGGAATGAGGGAGAGGAAGGAGGGGAGGGGGTAGGAGGAAAGAGCTTGGGGATTTTGCGATCACCATCTCCTCTCCATGTCACCTCTCCTGTGGCTGCACAAACCCCTTCCTAAGGAGTCCCTCCCAGGCAGAGGTAGAGTTGGAATCCCAGGCTGGGCCATACTGGGGATTTGGGATCTGCTGAAGGCTTCTCCTTTTTTTTTTTTTTTTTAAAGATTTTTTTTTTTTTATTGGAAAGGCGGATATACAGAGAGGAGAGAGAGAGAGAAAGATCTTCCATCCGATGATTCACTCCCCAAGTGAGCGCAACGGGCCGATACTATGCCGATCCGAAGCCAGGAGCCTCTTCCTGGTCTCCCACGTGGGTGCAGGGTCCCAAAGCTTTGGGCTGTCCTCGACTGCTTTCCCGGGCCACAAGCAGGGAGCTGGAAGGGAAGCGGGGCTGCCGGGATTAGAACCGGCGCCCATATGGGATCCCGGGCGTGCAAGGCGAGGACCTTTAACCACTTGCGCCACCGCGCTGGGCCCAAGGCTTCTCCTTTGTCTCGAGTCAGACTTAACAGTAGCAAACCCAAAGGTGAGATAGCATGAGGAAGCTCATCCTTCAGGACAATGCTGGAGGCCAGGAAGGCAGTCGCCACTTGTTGACGCTTCTGACAGTGCTTTGTCAGTTGGCCAGATTTGAGAGCATGTGCAATGGCCAGGGAGACAGTGAGTTGTTCATGAGTGGGATGACTGATTTACCTGAGAGTCCTGGGCAAGTAGGAACACGACAGAGCAGAATCAAACATTATGAAGTATTGAGTGGAGAAATTACTAAGACAGAGCTGACAGTGCAGGTTAAAAAACCATTACTGATGTGGCAGATTGGCAGCGCCAAAGTCAGGGTTGAGAGTAATAAGCAAGGCATTATATTTTATGTAAAAGAACAAAACCCAACACCTTGCACCTTTCATTCCCAGATGGAAATGCATACAGGTTCATTCCAAGGCACGACACAGAGACAATGTCCGCAGGTTGATAATTCTTTATTTCACGGACTGGGAGAAAGAAGGGTGGGAGTGGGAGAGAGGCAAGCACAACGCAGGCTTCATCTTCCAACATCGGAAGCCATTAGTCTTTCCGGGGCCGCAGGGACTGCCAGACACACAGCCCAGGCTCTCGTGGCAGGCAGGCTAGGTGGCGGCTCTGGAAGCCCTTCTCAGAGCCTAGGAGGAGCTGGTCTGTCCACAAGCAATGAGTGTTACTCTCCAAATGGCAGGGTACGGATGCGCAGGCGAACACCTGCAGGAAAAGGGAGGATGCAGCTGTGAGGGCCTCCCTGCACCACCTGCCGCCCCTACTCAGAAGTTTCCTCTCCTTAATTTGCAACATGGGGGAACTGGTGTGGCCCCACCTGGATTCAGACCCAACAACAACCCATCTCACTCAGGAATGGCAAGCCAGAGAAATGATCAGTATCCTTGAATGGTGGTTGGGGAACAGTTGCTGGGAGGTCAAGCTGGCAAGTGTCTTGGGGAATCGTGTCTTAGGACCACTGGAAGTCGTGGGGGAACAGTTGTAGTGGGGGAGATGAAGCACAGCGCCAGCTAGTGGGCTCTTCGGCAGTCACTGGCTTTAGATGACATTCAGGGCCATCAGGGAGCAGGCTGGGTGTGTGTGTGTGGCAGTGGTGGGCCAGAGAGTGATGTGATTCGCGCTGACTTCACAGCTATACTGAAACATCAGAGGTGTTGAGCAAAACACAGTGGATTTGGGGGCCAGCACTTTGGTTTCTTGGAGAACATTCTAGGTAAGCAAGCAATATATCCTATGGGGGAGTGGGGATCAGATCAGAAACAGTGGGACTACAGAATAGTCACCAGGGGGAGTTAGAGGGACAGGGACCAATCAGAACGAAACAGGCCATCTTGGTGTCATACACAACCGCAGAATAGCTAACAGAGCAGTCTCTCTGCTTGGGAACCAGAGAGGGAGATTAGGGACAGCCCTTAGGTGTGGGAGCAGCCCAGATTTTGAGGGAAGAGCTCCGGGAAGGTGGAAGACAGGCCCCAGGCACTCACTTTGCACATGTCACAGCCAGCAGCGTAGGTCTTGGTGAAGCCAGAGCGTTGAGAGGAGCTCAGACTATTCCAGGGGACCACGAAACTGCAAGTGTTGATGTGCAAGAGGCCTTTCCGCAGTTGTCCTAGGGAAAGCGGTCAATCAACAGGCAGGTTATTCTTGATTGGCTGAGGCGGGGCGGTGGGGGGGACGGGGTGGGGCGTACCTGATTGACATTCACGGGCATACAGATCCCCCCCACGTAGGGCAAAGTCCCTGCCGTCTGATAGGCTGGGATAGGGGAGGGTTCCCTTCCCGAGCCTCGCCCCTCCAGGGTTGCTAAGCAGCGACTGAGGCAGAGGCGTGGCTCAAGGTGAAGGGATAGGGCCTCACCCGCGATGAGGAACTCCTCGCTGCGGTTCTGGGATTCATGGAAGTACCCGCAGAGGCTTTCCATGGCGGGGGTGTAGACGAACCGGATATCAGCGGCATGACCCAAGGCGTCAAAGCCTTTGAACATCTGTTGACAGAGGAGGGTAAGAGTCGCTTTTCCTGACATAACCCTCCCACTCCTCCTTCTTCCCTGAAGTCATACAAGTATAGCATCCTGAGATCACCTCACTTCCTCCCTATCCTGTGGCCGGAGCTGCTTTTTTTTTTTTTTTTTTTAGCTCATATGCTTGAAAGGGAGGAATGGAGAGAGGGAGAGAGAACTCTCATCCGTGGGTTAACTCCCAAATGCCTGCAACAATTGGACTTGGGTATGTGCCAGGACCAGGAGCCCAGATCTCAATCCAGGTCTCCCACATGGATGGTAGGGACCCAGATCCTTGAGCCATCGCTGCTGCCTCCCACAGGGTGCATTAACAGGAAGCTGGAAGGAAGAGTCAGATCCAAGACTTGAACCCAAGCACTATGATGTGGCATGCAGGCATCTTAGCTGCTAGGCTAAATGTCTGTTTCCAGAAGCCTCTATTTTGACCATGAAAAGGCTTTTAGGGATCACAGGGACAGAGACAGGGGAATACCTTGGTGGTCTTGATTTCATAACGCTGGTATAAGGTGGTTTGGTTGACTTCTGGGGCCCCCACAAACTTGGCCCTAATGACTGCAGGAGAGGAGGGGGAAAATGAGTCAGAGGGACTGCATAAGCCAATAAAAATTAAATCAGCATTATGCTAATCCTAGGAAAGCACATACGTAAATAGGGATTACTGGATTCCAGACAGCACACTAAGCAATCGACACATTTGTTAACTGATTCATGTATATATCGAGTGACTGCTCTTTGCCAGGCCCTGCTGTAAGCCTTCTTCATTTGTTCATTTGCTCATTCACTCGACACATATTGCAGAGCATCTACTGCGTGCCAAGCACTGTTGTGGGTGTTAAAGACCCAACAGGGAACAAAACACAGATATCCTTTCCCTTGTGGAGTTCACATTGTAGCCAGGAGGAGACCGCCTGAAAACAAAGATTAAGTACCTGGAATGTTTGAAGCGGTTAAATGTAGTAGGGAATTACACAAAAAAAAAGGATTCATTGCCTGGCTAAGCTCCTTGAACCTTTTCCTGGGTCCATCATTGCACTTGCTTGCAAAACCTTGTTTTTAGCAAAAAACAAACAAACGAACAAACAAAAAACCTGCTAAGTCAGTTTCAAAACAATCTCCTGCCTTGGTTATCTGATGGGGCTCTTCATTCCCTGACCCACCCCTACCTGCAGGTGACATCTGGTCACCCTGGCCTGTCTTCAGTGACTTCAGTGGCCATAGTTCCTCTTCTCCCACCTGACACGCACCTCATGTTTCCTCTTAGTTGCTTTCTGTCCACTGACCTCTACCCTGTTCCAAGCCACAGATTCCCACTGGCCCATGCAGTGTTTGGATTTGAGCCCAATCTCTTGCTCTTACAGAAATAATACCCAATCCCACGGCATGGGTATTATTTCTGTACCCCTTAGCAACAGGCCTGAATAAAATTCTGAAATGGAATAAAGTTCTGAAATGGTGACACTGAGGCAGCCACCCACATTGGTATGGGGGAAGGGCGTGGGAAGGTAACAAAGGCCCTGGGGTGGGTTTGATGCCGGTGCATCCATCCAAGAAGTGAGGAGGATGCATGGGGGATCAAAATAGGGTGAGGACACGGACAAAGTGGAATTACTCTAGAGGTGGACAGCATCAAGACCCCCCCCCACACACACACTGGACTAAGGGAAAGCAGAGCAGATAGAGAAGAGTGGGCACAGAAGAGTGGGCAAGATGGGCCGGGACTCACCAAGGTCCGAGTTGCAGAAGGCCGTCTGTGGGTGAGGTGGGGCACAGGTGCAGGCTTTGCTGGGGGCTACCAGCCACAGCAGCAGCAGGATGCTGGAGACCAGGGCTGCCAAGGGGGCCATGGCGTTCTCTACGAGATAGGGGGGATGTCAGACAGCCTCCTACCCCTGGGGGACCTGGAGGGAGACTAGGAGATTGGATTTGGGACTTAAAGAATTGGGAATCTTAGGATTTGTAAGTCGGAGTGGGAGTCCAGAGGAGTTTAGGGGCTTAGAAAGTTTGGTGAGTTTAAGGTTTCCTAGAGTTGCAGTAGTTTAGGGCATTGAGTGAGCTGGGGATTGCGGGGGGGGGGGGGGGGGGGATTGTAGAGGTGCGCATTTTCTAAGTCAAGGAGTTGAGGAAGTCAGGGGAGTGTGTCAGGGTATGGGTTTTGGAGGAGGTCTAGAATTTAGGAGCTGTCACTATGAAGTTACAGAGACGGTGGGAATTTCAGGAAGCTATGGGATTCAGCGGCGGTGGTGGAAGGGTGGTCAGGGAGCTGAGTGAGTTTGGGAGTTCAAGGTGCTGCAGAGAGTGGGTGCCCGTGGCTGTTTCAGGGATTTGCAGGGGAAAGGAGCCTTGAGGTTTAGGAAGTTGAAGATTATGGACTTTTAGAGAATGGGCTGGGGGTGGAGGTTATGAAGCTGCGGCGGAGGGAACGAGCTACGGGGGAGGGGGCGAGCTGCGGTTTGAAGGGGCAATGAGGGCCTTGCAGGAGTTGGAAGCTGCGGGGACATTTTGCTATTAGGGGCCATGGGTTTGGGGCATTGGGCATGGCTTCCAGGGGTTCGAGGGAATTTGAAGTGTCAGGGGTGTCCGGGAGCACTTTCAGCCCCCTTTCCTTCCACCTTGCCCTTGAGCAGCCCAGGGTCCTGGTACCTCCGCAGGCCAGGCTGAGCAGCCACAAGGAATCCGGCCTGGACTGCTCGCCAGCACACAGCCAGGCCACCCTGCCCCGCGCCAGCCCTCATCCAGCTTACCTCTCGTGTCTGCCCGGCGCTAGATCGGCGGCGATGGCGGCAGCACGGCCTGAGCGGTAGGGGATAAATGTCCACGCGAGGGGCGGGGTTGGCGCGGAAACCACAGGCCTCCAGGCTTCCTGGATGCGTTACTCATCCGCCCACCATCAGCGCACAAGTCTAGGGGCGGGCCGAGGGCTGCCCAAAGGAGAGACACTCTCCTCCCCTCCTCCCCCTCCTCCAGCTCCACGTCGGGCACATTCCTAACAAGCCGGCCACCTCCCTCACTCTAAGGAAAGTGTTGTGGCTGGATTGCCCCCTACTAGTCCCTGAAAGTCCCTGAGGGCTCTCCAATCGCCCACATCCGCCAAACTCCCTATGGTCAAAGCCCAAATTAGTGCATGCCTTGGATCTTTATGTATCAAGTGTACAAAAATCCCATTATGGTGAAAAGGGGGACAGAGAAGAAAGAGTTGAAGAAGAGGCAGTTCTGAGATATGAGGCAGGTGAATGGGGAAAGAAATCAAAGTGAAGAGACTAAGGCACACCAGGAAGAATACGTGACTTAAGGCAAGCCTGGGATTAATAAACGGCCCATATGAGACTGGAACCCAGGCAGCCTGGAGCCTGAACCTGGCTCTCGCTCGACCCCTCTCTAAAAAACACAAGTAAATATCAGCATTTATATGGCACCAACTGTGTACCAGGCCCCTCGGTCATTTAGCTCATTTAAAGCTCACAGTTAGTCTCTAAGGCATTCTACAGATGAAGAAATAAGAAGCCCATTCTACAGATGAAGAAATAAGAGGCCAAGAGGGAATCAGCCAGGCCAAGAACTTTCCCAGCATCACAGGACATAGCCTGGGAATGAACTTAGGTTAACTGGTGCCAGGCATAACATTGTGCTGGCCAGGCAGGGGATGGTATCAGTGGATTACTGAGCTTTGATGGGGGGGGGGTGCACTGAATGGTGGTGAAAGAAGGGAGTGAGTCAGTAGAAAACCCATCCGCACCCCGTAGTGCCCTGCCCCTTCCCCACCACTACCAACCCACACTCCTAGGAGGGGAGGGTGGATGAGGCAATCCCTGCCCACCGGTTTCCCAATGATGCTGGCATCTTCCTTGGGGTCTTGCAGGGGGTTCTGAGGGCTGATTAGAACCTTGGTTAATTCAGGCAGAATAGAGCAAAAATGACGATAGTGATGAAGGCAGCCCCTGATTGGATCCTTATGTATCCTGGGCTTTGTGTAAATTATCTCATTCACTCTCCATCACCCCCATTGGCAATTAAGCTTGATTAACTTAGAGAGTTTGGCTCAATAACACCACCGGCAATACACTAAAAGCTAGCAGCAGCACTGTGAAAGTAAGCACTTCCCGCACGTCAAACACCATCTGTAAAGTCTCTAGATTCATCCCTGGTGACCTCCTGGCTCATTATTGTTCACGAACAAAGGGCTGTTAAAGCCTCAATCAGAATAATGATAGTACGATGTAAGGATGTAGGCTTAGGACTGGCTAAGTACTTGCCACTAAGTAACTGTCTCCTATGAGTTAGAGGCAGTTCAGTGTCTCATCAAGAGGGATGAAGAAACTAAGCCACCTCAGGGAGGCGGGGGAGGGACCTGCCTGGGAACCAGATTTCAAAGGGTTCTGTGGTAGGGACCAAAAAATAATAATAATAAAGGGGTGGCGGGGGAAGGGGGGGAAGTAAACCAAAAGCCTGTAGAAGCTGGTTGGGAAAGTGGGGAGTGAGAGTGAATGAGACAGGGGCTGAGTAACTAGCCTGCGGGACACAGAGGGAAGTGAAGGTAGGGCAAGTCCTCCCTCAGCCCCTCGCTGACCCTGCTTCTGATGCCAGCCCCTTTTGCTGACTGTTACCAAGGGAAGGGTGGTCCGAATCCAGGTGCTTCTGCAGGTTTGGAAGCTGGGGCAGAAGGGCGGAAGGGTTTTGTGGAGGTATGTTGGGGTGTGGGACCCTCCAGGGCACCAAGATAGCTGTGGGGTTCAGCTGGATGTGCAGATACCCGATGTGATCCTCCCAGTCTTTCCCAGTGTGTGGCTCTGACTGTGCCCATTGTAGAGAATAGGAAACTGAGGCCCAGAGAGGAATTCAAAGGAGTCCCAGAGTCTTACCTGGCTCTAGAAAGAAGGGAAGCTGAGACACTGATCTAGAGTCCTATAGGCCATTCTGAGGGTGGATGGGGGTTGACAAAGCTCCCAGCACACACACATGTGTTGGCACACACAAACACACACACACAGAACACTCACAGAGTCTTGTGTTCAGGCTCAGGTGGGGAGGGCACTTAATGAAAAGGAAGCCCTAGAAAAGCGCACATAGTAGGCGATGTGCATGTGTAGACAGCCTCTCTGACTTGTTGCTGGACACATCCACTGGTGCTACACATGTGTGTGCCTCAGTACTCCTTATTGCTCCATGTGTGTGCCTGAGTACTCCATATTGCTCCATGTGTTGCCTCAGTAAAGTGGTTCTGGGTTCTTGGTCACTTCCAAATGTGTTGTTAATTCTGTGTGCAGTGTAGTACCTGTCTGAGACATCACGTACACACCCTGGCATCATGTCCCTGGCACGCTGCCCAGAGGCTCTCTGCCAGCCACCAACCCTCTCCCTTGCCCCCGGCCGCCATGCCAGCACTAGGCCTCTCAGCTCCCCCTTACTCTCCCCCGCCTCCGGAATGTCACTAGTCATTTAGGAAATGAGGAAGGGAGTGGGAGCACAGGGGGAGGAGGAGAACTGAAGGTCCATCTGGTCACCCTGAGTCTGCGGGCTTCCTGTGCTTGTCGGGAACTGGGAGCCACCACCGCCCCCCGGCAGTCCCGCCGGGAATGCCATCTCTGTCAGCGCCAGGGAAGGCACAGCACCTTGCATACATGCCAGCCTGGCCAGGAAAAGACTCACTTCCCTCTACCTCACCCAGGGTGCAGGGAGAAGGAAAAGTCATCTTCTCCCCTGAATTTGTGTGTGTGTGTCCATAAGGGTGTATTTCAAAGAGTTGTGTCTCTAGTTATGGGTGTGCCTTTCTGTGTTGCATACTTTGTGTGTCTAGATGAATTTTGTCTGGGTGCCCAGGAATGTGCTATGGGTTTTGGTGGCTGGATGAATGAGTAGAGGGCCACGCACCTCTGTAAGTTGGGTAGTTCCTTCTAGGGGTGGACGCATGCCTCAGAGGTGTGTGTGTGTGTGTGTGCCTGTGGACATGGAGCACATGCCCAGTGTTACTGAGTGCACCTGCTTGAATTGTGTGCACCTCTGTGGTACATGGGTAATCTTTTGTGTGCCGTTTGTGGTGTGAGTTTGTGCAGGGAGAAGGCGCCTCTGTGTGTATGTGTGTGTGTGTGTGTGTATGTGTCGGTGGGGGAGATCCCAAGGGTTGATTGTGTGTCTCAGACTGTCACGTGCGTACTGCCCAGGAGTGCTCACTGCTGCACCACCCTCTTGAGACCTGGCAGACTGAATGTGGGCGGTAGTACAATTTTCAGAGTCAGCACACTTTGTGCCAGCATTGGTGGTCGGCGCCAACGTGCCTGGGCACCTTCAGGTTCCATTGCATAGATCCGAGTTCTGAGGGTTTGTGTGCGTCTCCAAGGGGTGAGGTTGGAGGGTGGGAAGCCCATCTATGAGGCTTAGCTGAGGGGCCCAATTACCACATGCTCAGTATACCCATGCACGCGCACACGTACACACGTACACACACACACATACACACACAGAGGCATACACTTACACCCACATTGATAACATCCATTCACTTATAGAAACAAACTTTCTCAATTCCGGAAATGTCCTCCGCCCAGTACCCTGTGCCTTTGCTGGGGAAAGCAGAGGCAGCATGTGTGAGACTTGGGGGAGTAGAAGAAGGGCCAGACAGGCAGGTGCTCTGGGTTCCATTTCTGAGCTGTTTCTGACTCGCCCCTTCTGGGAACTGGCTGTTCAGGCAGCTCCCACTGGGAGAGCTAGCCATCCTGCCCTGACTCTGCCTCCTCTGCCTTTGCTTCCTACCAGCTCAGCAGCACAACGTACCCTGTGGTTGTGAAGATGGGACACGCACACTCTGGGATGGGCAAGGTGAGTCCCTTGCTGTGGAAGCGTGTGCATGTTTGTATATGGTATCTGGATGTGTGTGCAGTAATGTTGTACAATTGAGAGGCCTGGGTGTCTCTGTTTGCACTTGGGTTTTCTCATATTCAGCTGATTTTGTCTGCCCCTTTTCCTAGGGTGCATTCAGGTGATGCTGTGCCCTGCCATCTTGCTAGGATGCCCAGCCTCGTGTGTGTGTGTGTGTTTAAGCCTGACTCTGTGTGGAACATGTTGCATGGGACCTTTGACGAATCAGGGTCTGGAAGTCCTATATGCGTTTCCTGCCAATTGGTTTTGTCTTTTCGTGTATGTGGAAAGCAGACTTGTCCTTTGTTAACTGTGCATGTCCAAACCTCTGATTAATTTATATAGTACATGTACAACAACTGATTTTTTGTTTGGGTGCCTATACGCATGTGTGGTGGACAGAAGTGGTTTCGCCCCCCCACACACAATTTTATTCCTACACCATACGACTTACCCATTTAAAGGGGAAAATTATATTGGCATTCTCGGAGTTGTATGCACACAATTTGTATCTGCTCACACATGTGTGAGACAGGAGTTGCAATTATGCATGTGTCATACACAAGTGCCCAGTGAATTTCTCATGCTTTCCTTACTTGCATCCTGTGTGCATACCCCTCCAGCAGCTCCCATTTCCCCAGTGCTTTCTTGTCTGGACCAGGCCCACCTTCATCTCTGTCTTCATGCTCACAGGTGAAGGTGGACAACCAGCATGACTTCCAGGACATTGCAAGTGTTGTGGCACTGACCAAGACATATGCCACAGCTGAACCCTTCATTGATGCCAAATATGATGTGCGTGTCCAGAAAATTGGGCAGAACTACAAGGCTTACATGTGAGTGGACAGCCAAAGGCCTGAACAGTGGTCCCATGCACTGCTGGCAGAGGGGGCCTGATCTTCCTGAGCCCTTTTCCTTTTGTCCCCCAGGAGGACATCGGTGTCTGGGAACTGGAAGACCAACACTGGCTCTGCAATGCTTGAGCAGATAGCCATGTCTGACAGGTGAGTGGCCTGAACTCAAGGGGTTGGGGTGACTGGCAGTGTGACCTCTTAGGTAAGGCACTTAGAGGCTCCCCTGCTCTTTGTCTTCTCTTGGCCAGGTACAAGCTGTGGGTGGACACGTGCTCGGAGATTTTTGGGGGACTGGACATCTGTGCAGTGGAAGCACTGCATGGCAAGGACGGAAGGGACCACATCATTGAGGTGGGAGCATCCGCGGATTGGTGGGGCATAGAGGAAGCAACAGGTGCATGAGGGCAACACTCCAGACTGTGAAGCACTCTGGCTCATAGGTCCCCAGTGAATGGCAATGCATGCTGGGATAAGCCCTTGCAAATGGTAAAACAGTTAACTCTAAACTGCTCTGTGAAGTCGGACTTCCTTGGCAGATGGCAAACACTTGCTCACCTAGAAAGTGCTCTGTAAATCGAGATATCCTTGCAAATGGCAAAGCACTTAGTGACCTTTTAAGGGTCACTGGGTGGCCTAGGTGGGCTTTGGCCACAGCTTAATGGCAGAACAGTAAAGAACAAAGGAGTGATTGGGAACCATTTTCTGTGAAGGCCCACTCTCAACTTGTCATACTCAACCTGGCAAAGAAAGTAGTGCTAGATGATGGGTCAAAAAAAATAAATGTGGCTGCATTCTAGTAAACCTTGCCTTCTGCACGTTGAATATGAACATCAGACCATTTGCACAAATCATTAAATCTTTTGATTTTTCATCAACTGTTAGAAAAATATCTATCACCTGTTCTTAGCTCATGGGCCATACTCATGAGCTAGCAGGCTCAATTTGGCCTGTGCATCCTCACTTGGTGAGGCCTGTGCGGCAGTACCTCATCAATGCCTTGTAAAGACAAACTTTCTCATGATGCATGTCAAGCAGCCATTAGGAACCTGACCAAGTGCGCTTGCTCTCGGTCGCCATGCCTTTTGCCAGCTGACAGTGTGTTGTTGCTAATGCCTGCTGTGCCCTTCCTGCCTGCCTCTGGCCTCACCAGAGTTCTTTTTGGTCTTTCCCAGGTGGTAGGCTCCTCCATGCCACTCATCGGTGACCACCAGGATGAAGATAAACAGCTCATCGTAGAGCTTGTGGTCAACAAGATGGCTCAGGCCTTGCCACGGCAGCGGCAGCAACAGCAGCAGCGAGATGCCTCCCCTGGCAGGGGCTCCCACAGCCAGGTCAGACCCCTGGCATTGAGCTAGTGGTAGCAGTGAGGCCAGGCCTGGGGCAGGCTGAGCCCTTGAACCCATCCATCATCCATAAGCTAACAGCATTACCTTTACACACAGGTGGTCACAATTCCCAGTTGTTTAAAAAAAAAAAATCTGCTACTTGGATTTCCCTGAGTTTCCCACCCCACAAAACTTCAGCTTGGCCACAAGTGGGGCCACACCCAGCACACAAGGAACCCGGGTTGTTCTGGTTGGCTAACACTTCAGCAGCTGGTAACTATTTTTAACCTCTCCTGCTCCATTCCTCTGCCACAGGCTCCTTCCCCAGGGGCCCTGCCCTTGGGTCGCCAGACCTCCCAGCAGCCTGCGGGGCCCCCAGCTCAGCAACGACCTCCACCACAGGGTAAGTGTGGAGCCAACTGTTTCAGTTCCCACTTCACCCCTCCCCTGGCTCATTCTCACAAATGTTCTCTCTGTCCCCTAGGTGGCCCTCCACAGCCCGGCCCAGGCTCCCAGCGCCAGGGCCCCCCATTGCAGCAGCGTCCACCTCCACAGGGCCAGCAGCACCTTTCAGGCCTTGGACCCCCAGCTGGCAGCCCCCTGCCACAACAGCGCCTACCAAGTCCCACATCGGCACCCCAGCAGCCTGCAGCTCAGGCTGCACCACTGACCCAGGGTCAAGGCCGTCAGTCCCGGCCAGTGGCAGGAGGCCCAGGAGCGCCTCCAGCAGCTCGTCCACCTGCTTCCCCATCTCCCCAGCGCCAGGCTGGTCCCCCACAGGCTACCCGCCAGACATCTGTCTCTGGTCCGGCTCCACCAAAGGCTTCGGGGACCCCACCGGGTGGGCAGCAGCGCCAGGGTCCGCCCCAGAAACCCCCAGGCCCCGCTGGCCCCACACGCCAGGCAAGCCAGGCAGGTCCTGGGCCCCGCACTGGGCCACCCACTACGCAGCAGCCTCGGCCTAGTGGCCCAGGCCCTGCCGGACGTCCAGCCAAGCCACAACTGGCCCAGAAACCCAGCCAGGACGTGCCGCCACCTGCCACCGCTGCTGCCGGGGGACCCCCGCACCCCCAGCTCAAGTAAGGGGACCCCTAGAGCAGCCCTCAGCTTGCTGCTCACTAAGCAGGTTCTGGCCTGGGGTATTGGGGGGCAGAGCAGCCCTAGTGTCCCCACTTTTCAGACCCAGGTCCTATTCAGCGATGCTGGCCAGACCCCTCCCCCAAGCTTTCAATCTGCCCCTCAGTCATCTGTCCCAGATCCTCTTGCCAGCAACCAAGGGTTCAGATTCCTCCTAAGGGGCCCTGGGAAAGTCCCCTGCCCACCCGCCTTCAGTGCCTCTCAAGAGCTGTCCCAGCCCAGTCTGCGCCAAGCAGATTCCCCAGAACATGCTCTGGGCTGATTCATTCCCCTCTCCCCAACAGTCTACGCTCATTTCTGGCCTGTCCCCAAATCCTGCAGCCTTCTCCCAAATCCCTTCATCACCATCTCTGCCTTCTCTGATCCATTCTACCTCCCACACACCGAAACTTAGCGCAAATCCTGTCCCGTCAACACCCCACCGCCAACACACACACACACACACACACACACACACACACACACGGCCCCCTCTCAGCCTGTCCTCCTAGACTCATCCTACCTGGAGCCCTCCCTATCACCTTTCCCCTTAGGTCAGACTAGCCTAGGCTTCAGGAAGGGTCATGCCTGTTCCCAGGAATCCCATATTGCTTTTCCACCTTGGACCTACCACCCTCCCAGCCCCAGGACTCCACCCACTCTGAGTCCTTCAGAGCATCCATCAGGGTCTAGGCCCATGGTGGTGGGTGGGAAGGTCACAGGCACAGCCCCAGGATCAGAGGGGCAGGGCTGGGGCCGGGCCTGGGGTAACATTGTGTTTCTCTCCCTTCCTCCCTTCCTCTTCCCCCCTTCCTCCCACGCCTCCACCTTGTCTCTCTCTAGCAAATCCCAGTCTCTGACCAATGCCTTCAACCTTCCAGAGCCAGCCCCGCCCAGGCCCAGCCTTAGCCAGGATGAGGTGAAAGCTGAGACCATCCGCAGCCTGAGGAAGTCTTTCGCCAGCCTCTTCTCCGACTGACACCCCTCCCCCAAGAACCCCCAAATCCCTGGGCAACCGTTCTCTGGGCCCCGGAATCCATTTCTCACCTTTCAGGAATCCCCAGATCCCTCAAGGACCCCCTTTCTCCTTGGTTCTCATTCTTCCTCCAGCTGCTCAAGTCCCTTGACACACTTCATGCCTGGTCCTAAAGCTCTGTCTGCCCCATCTGCAAACCCCCAGTCCTTGTAGAACTGTGCTCCTGCTCACTGCCAGATTGGCATTAGGACCTCCCAGTTCCCCAAGGCTGCCTCTGCAGGTCTTCACAGAAGGTGTTGCCCTCCCTGGAAGCTCCTGAATCCAAGGCCACCTATTTCTGGCCCTACCACCACCGAGTCTCCTCTGCAGCCCTGAGATTCCTGGAAAAACCCTATTACTGGTCCCCCATCTTCCTAGCATAGGAAACCCTCCTTTTGAACTCCTTTCCATGGCTCTCCTATCTCCTTGGAGATCCACATCTTCGGACACCACCCACTGCCCAGTGCCCCAAGGATTTCCCTTCACCCGCTCCTCCAACCCTATATTCAGCACTTTTGGGAGTTCCTCCCACTTCTAGCACCCTTCAGGTCCCCCCAGGGCCCCCCTCCCCAGATTCCTGCCTCTGACAGCAGTCTTTAAATATGCAAACTCCACCCACCCTCCCAGAATCCTTTGCACACGGAAGGCCAACTGGTCTCCCATTGCCCCCACCTTTGCTGTGACGTCTGTGTCTGTGACTGACGTGGCCTCCTCTTGTGCTGTGCTTGGCATATGTGGTCCTTGTTCATCGTGCCGCCTGTGGTGATGTGTGCAGTGATGCTGTTTGTGTGGTCTGCACCTTCCTCCCCATCTCCACTCCTTGCCTGGACCTCTCCCCTATCCCTCAGCGGCTCTGAACCCCAAGAAAAGAGTCAGGAAGCAAAATAAACAAGCAAAGGCCCAGCAGAATTCTGTGCTTCTTGGTGAAGAGAGAGGGGAGTCCTTGAACGGCGGGGGACACACAAAGGGGACCCCCACATCCATATGGGGTGCTGGGGACCCCCAAATCCAGTGGAAGACACATCAGGCACAAATTCCAGAGAGCTTCGGAGTTAAATCCCTGCCACAAATCCCAGCCAAAGGAGATGGAGGTGCTCCCCCAAATTTATAAGTATCCCCAAAGCCAAGAGCGAAACAAATTACGGAGGAGGCAGGGGTCTCAGTCTTTGGGGGATCCCCCAATTCCAGACAAACTGGAAGAGCACATTGGGGACCCCCTCATCTCCCAGGGTTGGGGATGGGGGGGATCCTGAGGCAGTATATCAAGGCAAAGGAACATTGATTGGTTGCTGGGTGAGCAGGACTCCTTGGCGTGGCAGCTGATTGGCCCCTGCTGGCTGAGGGTGGGGCTAAGGCACAAGGCGGGCTGCACTGAGGAGGCAGGCAGGCAATTCATCGGCCTGGGTGCGGTGCAAGGAGGGTTCGGAGGCACTCCGCTCAATCTTGGGGAGTGACCGCTGTAGCAGCTCAATCGTGGCCAGGATCTGGGGGCAAGGAGAAGTGTCTGAAGTCCTGTGGGCACCCTAATACCCCCAGGCCCCAAGCCAATGGGAACACACACACACACACAGAGCCCGGATACCCCTGAGGCTTGAGCATGATTCAGAACCACGTGTACCTCCATCACAGCCTTCCTCCATCACAAAGCCCCCAGGCGACCTTTACCCCAGCTCACCTGGGGGAAGAGGGGCCGCTCCTCACGCTGGAACTTGAGGCAGTCAGACAGCAGGCGCCGCATGGCCTTGGGGCAGTTGCTGGAGATTTTGCTGAGGTCAGGGGACAGGTAGCCTCGGCCTACCATAAAGATGATCTGGGCGGGAGGGGGGACAACAGCCATGAGGTGATTTGGTGTCCACTTGGGTGACTGTATCTATGTGTATTCTTGAAGGACACAGGGACTAATTCCAGTGAAATGAAGTTTCTAGGCTAAGGCACTTGGGCGGGGGGGGGGGGGGGGAGAGGGGAGGATTTTGAGTACCCAGGGGACCTGGGGACTGGGGACTTTAGGGTGTTGGAAAGCCTAAAGGGATTCAGAGGTTTTGGGGCTTTGTGGATGCAGGACATGGTTGGAGAAGGAGGGGAGCAGGAGAGGTGCCTGAGTATAGGAGACCCAGAGGATTCATAAAAAGATGTCTGGAGGATTCTAGGAGTTTCCCTCTCTTGGGAAACATGAGGTTCCTGGGAGAGTTTGCTGTTTGTGGTCTGTGCAAAGGAAGTGGGGACCATGCATCAGGTGCATGGCTCACCTGGTCACGGCTGCCAATGTGGCTGTAAGGCAGTGAGCCGGTCATGAGTTCGTAGAGCACAACCCCGTAGGCGTAGACATCTGACTGGAAACTGTAGGGGTTCGGGTCCTGCATGCGGATCACCTCAGCCGCCTTCAATAGGCCAGACCAGACAGGCAGCGTGCGAGTCAGCAAGTGGCTGGCTTGTGGTCCCAGATGCCACAAGCCACAGCACATACAACTCAAGGTCACCCGGATGAGGGAGAATGTGAGTCATTCGGACCTCCATGGCCACTATAGGCATCCCTCCTTGACCTGTGTATCCCAAAACAGGAGCCCTTTCCCCTTCCGGGCCCCTAACTAGCTGGGCCAAACTCACCATCCAAAGCACAGAGCCTGAGGGCTGCTCCAAGGGCTGGGCCCCACTCCACCGTGTCTTCACAGTGGCCAAGCCAAAGTCACCAATCTTCACTGTGAGCCCCTCATGTAGGAAGATATCTGCCAGGGTCAAGGGCCACTACAGGGACTCCTAATAGCCATGACACTGCTCATCCTGCCTGGGCAGCAAGGGAGATCACATCAGTGCTCCCATGCATTGTGCCTCTGGACCAGACCACAAGCCTCTCAAGGTCACATAAACCATCTGCAGCATTGACCTGACAAGGAAGCGCCAAGGAATGCCTTCCACATGTGGCTCCTCTGTGGGTTGGCCAACAAGGTCCCTCAAATGACATAGAAACCTGTCATGCCCTGGTCAGAACTCTATCATGCCCTCCACGATTTACACACCTGTGACCCTGACTAGAGTCCTCAACAACAGCACTTGATCCATCAGCACTTAACTCCTGGCCAACGGAGGCCCCCCGCCCCACTCCGAAAACCTGCTCAACAGCCAGTAGGCATCTGGCATGGGTCCCTCCCTCTTCACCCCTGGAACACCACCCTGGTAGGAACCATCCCTCTAAGCCTTCATCTTGTGTGATGCCCCCATCCCAATTCCCACACAGAAAACAGGTGGATACTGTTAGACTTGAGGTCCCGGTGGATGATGTTCTTGGCATGGAGGTAGCTGTGTGGGCAGAGGCAGCAGGTGTTGAGTTGGCTGGGGGCTCCTGTAACATCTCTTTTCCCTCCCCATTCCAAACCCCAAGAGACTCACTCCATGCCCTGGGCAGTCTGCCGAGCCACGTCGATGAGTTGGACCATGTCAAAGCGTGTGTCAGCCACATGGAGGTGATGGTAGAGGCTGGAGCCCTCACACCATTGGGTGATGATGGCAAAGCCTGGGCGGGTCATGAAGCCCATGAACAGCAAAATGTTGACATGCCGGGTCTTCCTGTGGGCGGGGAGGGTGGTGTTGGGCATGGGGAGTAAAACTAGCTATTATCATGCACTTCACCAAGAACATCAGGAATGGCAATGCAGCTGCCTGTTACTGTCTTTTATTAATTCCATTTCACCTTGTCTTAGGGCACTCAGGACCAGATGACTGCCAGCTTCCACCATTGTGACATGTGTTTCCTGGGCTATATGTTTCTCTGCTGGGGACTTGTGCCCTGAGCTTCCTCACCCGAGTCTCCTAAGCAAAGCAGGAGGGAGGGAGTTATTAGTCCCACTCCCTTGCCTACTGCCAGCATCTCCAACCATTAACATCCTCTACCTCTCTGCCTCATACTAGTACCAGGGCCTGTGGCCAACCCACTTCACTGAAACACCAACACTGAACTAAACGCACAGTGCCTATACTGATGACCTGGCAATTACAGCCTGTTAGTCACCAGGAAAGCCTCTGGGATGGAGTGTGGGATCCGGACTCTTGTTACATCCTGAGTTCACATCTGTACTTCACCCAGTTACTGCACAGCCTTAAGAAAGACATTTGCCTTCTTGGGGTCTCAAGTGAGATCCGGTGGAGCAGGGAACAAACAACCTGAAAGGTGCTTAGAGCAGTGCTGGACCTCACTCTCCAGGGGTGGGGCCTGTTCTGTCACAGCACGCTCAGCCCATGCTTGGGACACCAGTATTACATAGTGTAGTGCCAGTCAGAGTCCCAGGCCCTTCACTTCAATCCAGCTTACTGCTAATACACACCCTGAGAGGCAGCAGATGATGGTTTAAATAACATGTGGACCCTTGCCACCCACATGGGAGACTGGGAATGAAGTCTGAACTCCTGGCTTCGGCCTGGACAAGCCCTGGCTATTGCAAACATTTGAGGAAGTAAGCTAGTAGATGCAGGTTAAGCCTCTGCTTACAGCACCACCATTCTCATCATACCTCTCTCCATCAGAGAAGATGACAGAGCACGTGAGGATTCCTAACAATGACTAAGATTATGGCTAAACAAGAGCAGCACTGAACAGCGTTCAAATCATTGCCATCTCATAGACAGGAACCGAGAATAAGAGTTTCCTACTGTGACATGCATGCATTATGAAGATCAACATTAAGATCACACAAGTCATGATGATGACACAAGACTCTGGGATATCACCAACCCCACAGGGCCAAGGGGAAAAGCCTATGTTTATAGCCCTAGCAGTGATGGGGATGGTACAGTAGGGCCCCCACATTATATGGGAATTTGGGCCTATGCTACATAGACACCATAGCGGTAAAAAAGGGACCACCCGGGCTTCTCAGCATGAAGGAATCAGTAGTAGTAATCACATATTCATTATGGCAATCATGATACTAGACAACAATTAGATTATGAGTAGGATGCTAACGATAAGTGTTTTCCAGATACGACTCAGGTTAAGCAACAGCGAGAACACAGCATAATAATGTTCCATTAATGATACGGTCCAAGCTAGCAGAGAGAAAGACAGGCTCCTCATGCCAGTGCCCATAACACTGCAAGTCATGGTCCCTACCTGAGCCCTGGTCATAGCAGGCAAATGGCAAGACCCGCATTTTGGAGACAGGGCCACTATTTCCTATAAGCATTCACTGAA